TTCACCCCGTCGTCTTGTGCACAAACTTGCAGTTAATACTAAGTTATTCGTCCAGATAGCACGTATGTTCCCGCGATGCATCTTGAACTAGCGAGGTTTACGAGAGTAACATCGCGAACGTTTCACGAGAATAACATCGCGGCGTTCTTTAGATTACGAGTACGAATTCGCGACAGGCATACGAACGAGTGGCACGAGCACCGTCATTATCTCGAGTCGTGAATGAAACGTAAATCGAAATGTATCGCGTGCCATAATCCGCGTGCATTAATCTCACTCAAATGCCGATCGTTGCGTAACAGCGAGCAAACGGCTCAAGTTCATTGATCCACTTAATGTCCGCGCTAAATGTGTCGTTGAATGTCAAAACATTATTACATAACGTTTACATGCCATCTGTGCACGTGGTCGATTCCGGCGCTCGCGCACTTCCGACTGCGGAATCACCGTACGTCATAATGATTATTTATGAGCTTATGATTGTAAAGTGACGTTTATCGTTGACCGGTTAATAATATCAATTCATTCGCTGATTTGTAGTTACTACCTACGAAATGCGTTGTGTTCGCATTAATGAAGCTATTAACGTACAAATTACAATACCTAACGAGATTTTACGTTCTCTGTCTGTAGTAAAACAGTTATTAGTCACAACATTTAAATGTTTCGCATTCTTACACGCAGGACTAGGGCGCCTACATTTATTTTTCGGCTCGTTTTCGGTTGTGTAGGTTTAATCTTGAATCGTTTCAACTTAGCACTACTCCGAAAAAATAGAATTATTATTTTTATCAAAATTTATTTTTATAGATAGAGTGCTCATATGAAATTGATGTGGAAAGACGAAAAGTGTAACTATAATAAATAATCGTGCTATATTCATCTTACTTCGTTCAAATGCAAATATGTTTTTGGAGGCTCGTCTTCCTTAAAGAAATACATAAAGACCGCGTTCACAAGAAGTATCGATGCTCAAAAAGACATAAAAACGGCTATTAAACTTTCACCCCGCCTGAACTTGACCGTCAAAATAAGAAAAACGTAATAAAAACGTCACTGTTATGGCATGACGTGAATTTACATAAATTATTGGCGGCGGAACGTCTGGGACGAACGGTCGGGAGCATGTTTACCCAGTTGCAATGTTTACATAGGCATACACGAAAGCGAGGTTCAACGACATCTATATTGTTTTATGGACACGTAATTGGGTCGCGGTGCGTTCGGAAACGTGTGCTAACTTGGCGCATTTGCGAATCGATCTTTATTTCGCGTCGTATTAGCGGTTACCTGTCTCCTTATCGAATGCTATTAATAATTGGATTTTGCATACGTAAATGACATCGCGGTTGTGTAGATTCGTCTTATTGAAATTTAAAACTATGTACGAAGGTGTATGTATTTCTTTTTTTAAAAAGGCATTCAAAACTTAATCTCTTTTAGTTGTTTCTCATAATCGAATCATATTATAATAAAATTTCTTAACCGCTCTATATGTTTTACTATTAATAATGTCACTTCGATTGAAATTTTCTAATAAAAAAAAAATCTTTTATAACATCATTTAAGGTTGTTCTGTTTGTAATAACAAGTGCCCGACAACGGTCCCCGTTAATGTGAAGATTTTATGAATGAACCCGTTATAGATCTCTCAATATTTGTACACAGCACGTGTCACGGAACAAAAGAATCGAGAAAAAAAGCCATCTCAAACAGCCAGTGTAACTCAATACCATAATAAAAATATTAACGTATTGAATTTGGTACACCTGACGTTTTTTCTGAACAGGTGGTTATCAGGGCCATTCATAATTCACTTAGTGTCGATGCCCTATCTTAGTCTCGAGTTGATTGCGTCATAATAGGATCGTAATTTGTTTATTATTTATCGGTTGTAACCAATCGAATGCTGATCGATTGTTTCACGAAAATCAATTCAGTTAGCACAGAATTAAATAAAACGAGACAAAACATCGATTTATTTATCGGCACGGCATTTGCTACAAACCGATACCAATCGAGTAAAAATAGATACATTTACGATTATTTTTTAAACTGTACTGTACTGTACGATTTTCGAAATTTGGTACAGAATGAAGTAATAAAAGATATTATAGGTTGCTTAAGTTAAAATAGTTAATATACAAGTTTTAATAGCAAAGTATCTTAAGTATTATCAAGTGCAATGAACCAATGGAATTATTTGTTAATTTGTAATGTCAAAACACGCTACCGCCATTCATAATGTTTTACATAATTGGGTTTGTTTGTGTATGTGATTATTATGCGTGTCTTGGCTGATGACGTCCGGTGCGTTGCGGTAATTTCATTCATTTGTTTGTATGTTTACTATTTGCACCACGTGCTCGTGAGAATGCCGGCTCTATCGTTATCAATCAATCACGAGAGACTATAGTATTTAATGAATTTAGTGATGAGAAGTCTTGAAGGTTGTCTGTCTCATTTATAAATGATAGAGGGAGAAGGAAGTGCACTTGATGATAGGTGAAATATATAGCCATATAAAACATCTCTATTTGGCTTTGGATATTCGGAAATCCAAAGACTGAACAGAACCGATTAAGATCGTGACGTGATGGAATTTCGATATTCCTACCGCCTATTTAATATGTATATTTCCAGGCGTCCGACATGTTTGAGAAAAAGTATAAATTGATTACACAATGGACAGACCTTGTGGGACCCGAAACCATGACCCGTTGATTATTAGCCATACATATACCAATACACCAAAGATCCCGCCGAAATTAACTGTCTCTATTACTAAAGATTGTAGCATCTATGTAATTAAGAACTTTATAGAATTGGGGCTTATGTGGTTACTAATAATATATTCAAATATTGTAGCGGTAACGGGAGTTCGATGTCTAGTAAGAAGACTACGTACCAATTTCGCCCGCATCTAATATTCAAAACAAATCAATAAACACTTACTAGTATTTCTAAAATGTACTTTTGTGGAGCCCTCCACAGATCTTCACGCGTATGCTTCTATCTCTCGATGTCATACGAGTGACGTGTGAAGAGTAATTCACGTGAATGCAACAAGTCGCATTCCTAGATGCACCCTACACCCTCTCGCCCCCTTTTGGAAACGAGCCTACACTGCAATAGAGGGATCGCGAGGTTTCGTAAACTAGGCGAACATTTTAGTTTGTTTCGATGTTATTATCTTAGGCTTGCATAATGTTTTATTTCTATAAAATAGCTAATAACTCCTTTGTACAAACCTCTATCAAACTTTGCGCAATATATTGAACGGTAGAGTTAATTAATTAACGATGGTTAATAGACTGACAAAAAAATTTACCCTTTAAGAAAAATAGAACGGTAAGACTCGAAATGATTCCGTATAAGGGAATATTTTATAAAAAACCGCTTTGGTGTACAGAGAAAAATAAATACGACAGATTTTAAAATTTATTTTTTCTTTCTTGGATATCTGGTTTTTCATTGTTCTCAATATATAAAGATTCAAGCAACTTATTAAACGTGGAAAACTTCTCCAGATAGCATATCAGTGGAGCGTATTTGATAAGATGTTATTATCGTAATGCAAAGCGAAAACTTTTGTTTCTCATTTACAGAAGAGAAATATTTAGAAGATACAATTCTCTGTTGCTGGGCGCGGTTCCGCTGGTTGTCATGGCAACGCGCCCCCGTTTGTCATCGTAGGCAAATTAAACATTCATCAAATTTTCAATGTTTTTCGTCCTGCTTTCCGTTTACATACAAGAAAATTGAAGCAAACAGAGAAGAAAGATTATTTGCGATATTAAAGAAAATTACAAAATTTAAATAATTCAGTTCGTACTTTTCTTTGTTTCGACATAGCAATCCGCTATCGGCTTTGATAAAATTAATACTATTATCGTCTTCCATGTAGATAAAGTACCAGGAACACAGTGCGAAAAATATTTCAGTGAAGTCACTCCGTAATAAAACGAAGGAGCAATATAGAAAGTAAAGTGTGTGCTGGCAAGCCAACTCGGCGATAATTAATGTGGAGTCGAGTCGAGCGGCGCCGGCAGCCTCGCGCCGCGCACACAAAAAACCCGCCCCGACACAAAAACAGCCGTCAGACAGAGACGGCGCTCCGCGCCAAAGCGAGACGGCAACATTTACATATTTCTTGATGACTACTCGCTCGCCTCGAGCGTCGCGCAGTTATCAAGATTCGAGTCGAATACAGCGCGTTTGATTTAAAACTACAGAATGCGCCCTTCTATTCATCACATGACGTTTGACAGGTCGCCGGAAACGCGGCGAAATGTCAGATTCGAAAAAAGGCGCGCACCGCACTTTCGTAGTTAATATTTTTTAACTATTATAACTTATTTATAACAATTAACTCAATTCAGACAATAGAACGTGTATTTATCTGCGTTAATACGTGCAATATTTACCTAATAAATATATCTTACTAAACGCATTTTTTACACCGCGTTTGAACTACTTAAACTAGTAACTATGTACAATAATGAAGTTGTGATTTATAACTATTTCAAAATGATCTGCAGCTTTTTATTTTTTTAAATTAAATAGAAATTATCTCTTAATAAATCACTAGCGATGTTATTGCAAGGGAGGTAGATATATGGAAAATATCGAATAATAGTCTAAGAACGAATAAACCTACCTTACTAGATTAAATTAAATAAATCAAGAAAAAGTTAAAGTATTTTTTGCGCCGATCGTGAATATTTATTTTTTATAAAATAACGGCACAGTGCCTTTGTACTATCTATTGCAAACCTAAATTGTGTAACGCCAGGAAAACACAACTGAAATAAAATCGCAATTTTTCCTGGTGCACTCAGCTTAACAAATAAAATTGTATAAGATCACAATTAATGACATTTAATGAAATATCACTCAGTTACTCAACGAAACTGTACTTGGAAACTTGTTATATTTTTTTCATTACACAATAAACTGTGCCTTCTAAACACGGTACCGTGGTAGTATTGAGCTCTTACCTGGAAATCACTCCACATCTTCATGGGGATAGACCATAGTTCCAACACGAAAACATCACACGAACACGATAACAACTGTCAAATATGTCACAGCACGGCGTCACTAACAAGACTTTACTGTGGCGAGGCCGAGCGCAGACTGAGGAGCGAAACGCGTCGAGCGGGTGCTTACGACGTTTCGTATCGCTCGGCCGACCTGCTTCGCCTTTCAGAACACAGTATTTGGATTCTCCGTTCTTAGCGCAGCCCACCTGCGCTCAGCGTTTTGCTTCCACGAAAAACAAAAAGTTATTCTCACCAGCGGAGCCTTCGGATAAAGCACTAACTTTTCTGTCACTAACACTATCTATGGCCAGTATCTGCTGAGAAACAATTTAACATAAGTCACTTTATAACTTTATTTTAGTAGCAATAAATTTATGCTTAGTAGTATTTGCAATCAGTAATCAACGCGAGTTATATTCGCTAAGCGACTATGATATTAAACGGTTTAAAACTCAATATAGTTTTCTCAAGAATTGTAACAAACCGTTTTTATAATTAACTTTTTGGGTATAAGTTAAGTTAAATTGATATTTATTTGATAAACATAAGTACTCAAATTGTTATGTTAAATAAAAACTTAGCAACGCGATTATGACAATGTGTTGCACAGTACACTTAAGACAGTAGCAACATTGTAGCGGGCGCGTAGATAAAAAGTTTTCGTAGGTCAGATAAGCATGACAACAAACCTTTCGGAAAGTTTCGTGTGCTGGCCGCGTAGCAGGAAGTTCGTAGCTGTAAAACTTCGTAGCGCGGCCCGTAGCCCGTGAAAGTTTTGATTTCAACGATATGCGTTGCGGTACGGAACGCTAGGCCGCGCTAGATACCGCCGCCCTGCAACGACCTCGGGCAAACAACGATGTACATTGCGCATTCATTCAGACATGAAAATATATAATCCTAACACACTCGTCAATGAAATTTAAAAGACAATAAGCATGTATTGTCACGTTTCCCATATATATCTCTTCTCCTGTCTCTCAATAGAGCGCGCCACTTGGCCGTTTGCAAATATGCCTTTAAGACATAGATCAACTGTATTCGTATTACATTACTTGTTTAATCGGTATCAATTTGAAAGAGTAGTATCGCCACTATGCAATGTATTCTGCAGTGTCATAGTATGAGAAATGTTATTTACAATAGTCTGTGAAATGATTTTTTATTAGGTTCACTTGTATACCTCGTGCTTAGATGTGATATCGACTTATTTTCATCTTTGTAATTCAAAAATTCACTGATTAATACGGTTATTATATATGTATAGTATAATAGTTGAAATTTCGATGTATATGTACATACACAAGTTGTTTTAAAGAAATTATACAGTTGTTTATAAAATTAATTCATTAAGACACGATTGGAATCAGACCGCCTCTGTGGCTAAATGGTTGAACGTGTTGCCTAGCATTGCGTTAAGCGCAAGAGGTCCTGCGTTCGAATCCCGGGGGAAATAGTAAAATTTTTCGGTCGTGCTGGGCACAGAAGTCTGATCAACTACTTGCCTGTAAATAAAACCGATCAGTGTAAGGGACACAGAAATGTGTTCGCCCTATGCCCCACGAGGGAAAACGGAATTTTACACACGATTGGAATCGAACCTGCGATCCAGTTATACATTGATTGCTACCGTTGCAATGATAGGATTGACTTAATGCTTTCGTCTGCTATGTTAATAGCTTATCACTATGACCAAGCGCTTTTGAATGCACCAAGTCCAAACAAAGTAAACATTCTTATATCGCCGCGTTTATTAGACACAGTCAGTACGCAGTCTAGTTTATTTACGTTTTTTCCCTAGTTTTTAATTAATTCGTCTTCCAGACTTTAATGAAAAACTCTTTAAACATGTTCAGGCACTAATATATTTAAAGTTCGTTACCCATTGCTCCTTTGTATATAGATAAACGAAAACTGAACCCGATTTCACTTCTATAAGATGTATTGTTCATACTTGGTACCACTGTACTGCATTGCAGTCTATTGTATCAACATGTGTTCGTCGATAAAATTGTAATAATATAACATACATCTAAAATATATAATTTAATCGCTTATTCATTAAAGAAAGATACAGATATGTAAATCATAAGAAAATTAGAAAACACTTATTATTATTTTAATATCTATATAAATTGGTAAATAATAAATATAGTTTTCTGTACAATTTGAACTTGAAGTTGAACCAAGGATAGTTACTTTATCTGTTTAGCCACAGAATGAAGAGTATTAAATTAAAATTGGTTCAACGATAAATATGTTACATCTCGATTTTTAATATAAAGTTTTAATTTTTAATCTTTAATTCACATCTCAAAATAATAGTTGTTCTTCCTGTCAAAAGATGGATTCGATATACGTATGTGTTGCCAATTAACTTCCATTATAATAAGTCAAGCCGCGGTGAAATACTTGTATCAAATTTAAAATTTTAGGTGCCTTCTTCTATAGACTTTATTCAGACGAAAAGAAGGCCAAGTATTATAATGTCAGTAGCGACTATGCCCATGACGGTGCACTTTTAGGAAAGGCTGCGAATGTGCTAGTGGCGAACTTTGGTCACTTGCAAAAAGCTTACAGAAGTTCTGACTCATGCTACTTTTGATACAACAGGTTGAAGGAAAAAAAGTATCTTATAGGATTGCATTTTTTAATTTTAATCACATGACGTCAGAGTCACTTCCCATCTATAGTCTCCCCGTCTGCTGCAAGAGATCCGAAACGACGGGCCATAGTAAAAAAAAATCAGAATAGGTTTATCTAATATATATCGCGTTTTAAATCGTTAAATTGTTTTATTTAATTACTACGTGTAAACCAGACAGTATTTGACATTTTACTTCCCAGAAACTAAATCTTAAACTAAACCCTAAAAAATTCATATTTAATATATATTTTTTAAAAAATGTACGACTAATTCATGATTTTTTTAAACCGTGTTTCAACTTTTAAACATTTAATTACATACCAGATTTTATATTTTCTATCATTATTTCAATGGAATTTTTACTTTTGCAACATATTTCTACTGCTGAAATAATTTCATAAATTCAAAAGCAGTCCATTAGTCCACTGCTGTAAACAACAGTAAAAATCTAAACAGAAATTGAAATAACTGCATAATCAACGCGCGGTACAAGCGTCACCGCAATATATTGTCTTTTTAATGTTGGATCGCAGCTCTGGTATACAAAATACAATCATCATTTTTAAGTACAAAGTCTGTTTCTGTTCCTAAGGCAGACACATTTTTGTTGCTTGTTGTCCTTGGTGACCAAATCGATTAATAAAGGCAATGAATTCATGGCACCTCGTGCTTAAGTCATCGTTAACAAATGAGCCACGGAGGCGATTTATTCTACTACTATAAGTATATATTCCATTATATTTAAATGTATAACTGTATGCTTTTGAAAAGGCCACAAAAACATAAATTCAGCCGGCCGTCATTGGCTAAGCGACGGGTATTTTTATGCGCAAGGTGCGCTTGCGCAGGTTGCCGCGTGCATGCGCACTGCGGTGCCGCATTTCGCGTGATCTGCACTTTATTTCGAACAGCTACAAGGAATAACGTTCACACACGATATACAAAGGAAAATACTCCGTTTCGTCTTGACATACGGTATATTATACTTTGCTCTAAATTGGCGTATTTGCATTTTTCTGTGCCCTGAAAAGCTGACGCTTCGAAGTGTCATTTTACACAATCAATGAGAAAGCAGGGCATAGATGTAGGCATATACACTTGTATTAAAATTTTCAATCACGTAATAATATATTTATGGTATCCTGAGCACAAGTTTCCATACTTCGAATCCCCGGAAAAACTACTTACCAAAGTGTAAATGAAATCAACCATTGTATAATTTTACTTATTCGTTTATTCAGACATACAGTTTGCCCCATGCCCCACGTAGGGGTAAAGGGATATTAATTTAAAAATGTGTCAGTAGAAAATATTGCATTCGTTATTTGAATAAGAGAAGTGATAATTACAACCGCCTTTGACTTGCCGGACGATGAAAATGATGCTATCATTTTAATGAAGCACTTATGTTTTTGCCTCAACATTATGTTCTTCTTTTTACTATCATTATAAATATTAATAGTATTGTAAAGTTAATTTTCTAGTAAGTAAGAAAAAGTCGCGGGTTCGATCTCCATCGGGTTCTAGATTTTTCTAACTATAATCATTCTGAAACATGTTGAACTTTATCTGGAAATATAGATATTCGGTGGTAGGAATATCGACATTCCGTCCGGGTCACGTACCACCTTCCCTATGAAAAAGCCGTGAATCGCTTCGGTTTCAGTCTGTGGATTTCCGAAGATCCAAAAGCACAGCGCATCTTGTACAGATGTTATATGGCTAGGGCATTTCATATGCCATGCTGCAGCAGCCGTGGTCACGGTCTCCCCGTGACCACGGCTGCTGTAAAGCATCCGAAACGTCGGGCCGAAGTTAAAAATCATTTTCAAATAAGTTTAACTAATATATCGCGTTTTAAACCGTTAAAGTGTTTTATTTAAATCTCAGTACGTTTTATTCTATTTATACCTACTGCATCGGGCTGTCATGTTAGTGTGTCATCAGCACCATCGTTGATTGCCTTTGATTAGTTGATGACAATGACTATGCTACGAATTTAACTAAAATAGATCGACGGTTCTTAAGTATATTCTCGTTTTGCAAATTGAGATACCATTTTTAATTTGTCTACATACGTACACAAAGAATTATGTAAACATTTGTATTATACATATTTTTTATATATTTATAGTAATATGAATGGTTTTGCGACTATATACTTAAGATACATAAAATAAATCTAAATGGACTTGCTATTAACAATCTATTGTAACCTACATTCGTATACAAACTGAAAATATTCCTACATGAAACGTTTATTACATACCAATAAAGGGTAGGTAATTTACAAAAAAATATATTTATCAACATAACAAACATATAAATGTTTAATATGTTAAATTCTATTAATCTAAATCTAAGACCACTCGTTAACGTCCTGACAATAAACAGTTTGTCATTTTTGTATGCAACATACGTTAACAGACAGGTGGAACCGACCCGATTGTTGTATAACAAGTGGGAAAGCGTAACCTTTAAATAAAACATTTTTAACGGCTTCAAACGCGAAACATAATAGAAGCTATCCAATGTGCTTTGGACGTCCTAAAAAAGTTGATTTATATATTCACGTTTATAACCGTTAAAGGTGTTTTATTTAAAAGCGTAATCTTATTTCTATATATTACCATAGAAAGCAACAGTACGATGGTGTTACATAATTAAAAGCATT